CAGCACGGCGCCCTGTGCTCCAGGATCTCCCTTGGGCCTTTGGAGCAGCCGGCCCGGCTCTGTGCCCTGCAGCTCCTGGTGCAGCCCAGACTCCCCGCAGGCACAGCAGCCCTTACGTTGTGGGAAGCCCCGCTCGCCCCAAACACAACACGCGGCACCCGACCGGCTCCTAGCAAGTCCATCAGCTCCATCCCACCCAGCCCAGCTCAGCGGGTCCAGCGCCAGCTGCTGGGAGCCCCTCTGCACCGAGGGCTGCGGAGCCAGAGCCGCTCATCTCAGCGCCCGTGGGACCGCGAAGCACACGTGCACCAAGGCCAGGGGGATGGCTCAACATGGACATTTCCTGGGGGAAGCCGTTGAACCACTTGGCCACAACCGGGCAGTTTGGGGTGCTTGCGGGTGAGTTACGCAGGGCACGCGGGCTGGGGCTGCTCTACAAAGTCGGAGCCCAGCTCCGGGTGTCCTGCAGCTGCATCACGCCGTGGGTCCTGCCTGAAGCAGAGCAAAGGTAACAGCGTGCTGCAGCTCCAGGGCTGCTCCCGGTTGTTGGGGCTGCGCTGGGGAACCTTCTTGTCTGTAGCAGGGAATGGTAGCCGTGGGCCGGAGGCCGGGGGCAGCGGGTGGGGGCAGAGCCCGGGGGCCCTGGATGGGACGCAGGCTGGGGTGCTTCTCTGTGCTGTCAGGAGGGGTCCGTTGGGTCCTGAGGTCACCGTGATGCATCTGCTCCGCTTCTCCCTGCAGCCCCCGCCGCCGCTCCCCGCAGCAGCTCCCACTCATGGAGCTCCTCACCCTGTGCTGGGTGCTGCTGGCCGGCACCTTGCTCAGCACATCGGCCGCCAGCAGCGCCCTGCACGACGGAGACCTCGGCCCCACCACGGTGCCGATGGACATGGCCCCCAACTCCTTTGATGACCAATACAAAGACTGCGAGAATCAGATGAAGACTAAGATACAGAAGGTGAACCGTACGGAGATCAAAAACAACAAGGACTATGCAAACACCTGGAAGAAGGCAGCTGCAGAATGGCAGAAGATCTGCAAACATCCTAATGACTGCCCAAAGCTGAAAATGGATCAGGCCATCGCCGTGGTGGCGTACAGTGCTGCAGATGGGATGTGCGAGAAGTTCAACGCAGACACACGTCAGGGCGGACTCTCCCACCAGCACTACATGCAGTCGTATCACTTCAAGACGCTGCACTTCCTCCTGACCCAGGCGCTGCAGGCTCTGCGAAAATCCAATCCCGACAAATGTTACAATGTCTACCGCGGTGTGCGGGGCATCCGCTTCACAGCCAAAAAAGGCAAAGCTGTGCGCTTCGGCCAGTTCACCTCCGCCTCCCTAGACAAGGAGGTTGCGAACATGTTTGGCAAGGACACTTTCTTTGAGATCAAGACCTGCCATGGTGTCTCCATCAATCCGTTGTCCTTCTTCCCCTCTGAGGATGAAGTCCTCATCCCACCCTTTGAAGTCTTTGAGGTCACCGACTTCTCCATCGTCAAAGGCAGAAACCAAATCAAACTCCTCTCTAAAGAGCCAAAGAGCAACCACAACTGTGAGCTTCTAAAGCCTCAGAGTGGGCAGTGGGGTCGGGGCCACCAGGAGGTGGGGCTGGGGCTCAGCCGTGGGCCACCTCTGCCCCCCCTGCCCTGCCCCAAACGTGCCAGAGGGGGATGGGGGCACAGAGGGTGACCCCATGCCAGCAGCTCTGGAAGGAAGGGGACGGGGAGCGTGGAGGCAAAGGGAACATCTCTGTTTGTGGGGAGTGGGGACCTGGGGAGGTGGGGAGGTGGGGAGGTGGGGAGATGGGAAGCTGGAGCAGCTTAGAGCTCTGCGAAGCTGCAGGGCTGTGCAGGGACAGGGCAGCAGCAGAACCCAAGGGTGGGGATGGGTAGAGACGTGCGCCCAAGGGCCGGCGGCGTGCAGAACTGTGCTGCTCCGTGCGTGTGCCGGAGCCAGGCTGCGCCTCATCCCACAGCTGGCGCCCTCTTCTTCTTTCTCGCATTAAACCTCGAGCATCAGCACGTCGGTGCCGTGTGTGTGGCAGGGCTGCGTTCCGGTCCCGGCGGGACCTGGGAGCGTGTGGGGACCCGGGTCTGCC